TCCTCAGGAAGCTGACTTCATCTGTCAGGCTGTCCACTTTGGCCTGCAGCTCCACCTTGTTCATGAAAGCCGCATCCACATCCTGCAGAGGAGGTCAGAAACCCAGAGAATGACCCTCTGTTCCCCTCCCACCCAGTGGCTCTTTCCTAAGCACTCATGTCTCATCTTTGTTCCTCCCCTAGCTCTCCTCCTAACTGTGACTTCTCATCTTCCCTTTTAAAATAAGGAAACTCAAAGTGGCTTTCTTCCTTTTCCTTGCTTGACATGTCAAATCCTAATGCTTTAACAAAATACAAACCATAATGCACCATCTGATTAAAGGTAGAAATTAAGAGTAGCCATCTGATTTTAGGGTAGAAAAAAATTTACCTAATATGTATGTAACTTTGGCTGTGTAGTACCAGAAATCCCACCCTCCTGAACAGAAATTAGAGTATTCTCACTACTTCACTTTTATGATGACTGGTTTAAATATGCTACACGTATTTGTTGATTGTTATTAATAGCATCTGGAGTACATTTGTAGGCTGAAAATCTTGATTAATTCTACACATAAAGCCCTCATTATTAGTTTGCATTGCTAATCAGCTCATTAGTCACAGTAACATTTTAACATACTTTCCCATGGTAATGTACTTAGAGCAGCTTCCTTCATAAAACATTTCATTCCAAAAATGTAAGGAAAAGTGTCAATCCCACACACCATATAAGGTCACTGTGCCCCAGAACAGCTGGCTGTGCACTCTCTCCATGGGGGCAGCTCCCAGAAAGGGAACCTGGATATGCTGGTCCAGGCTCACCTACCTTCTTGAGCCCCACAAACTCATTCTCTGCCGCAGTTCGTTTGTTGATTTCATCTTCATACCTGGAACGAGAGGCACACATTTGAACACTGGCATTTCAGAAGTGGAAAAGAGAGATGAGGATTCCAGGCACTCTTCTCACCAGTGCAGAGACAGGACCAGCTTCATGGGCATGTGCAGTTACATGGGACCCTGGGCTCAGGGTCCTCACACTCAGCTCAATGCTGGCACCATATTGACATTCTTTCTTTTCTTTCTTTTTTTTTTTTTTTCTCTGAGACAATGCTTCACCCTGTCACCCAGGCTGGAGTGCAGTGGCACAAACATGGCTCACCGTGGCCTCAACCTCTCAGGCTCAAGCAATCCTCCTGCCTCAGACTCCCAAGTAGCTGGAACCAGAGGCATGCACCACCACATCCAGCCAATTTTTTAATTTTTAGTAGAGACAAGGTCTCACTTTGTTGCCCAGGCTGGTCTCGAACTGCTGGGCTCAAGTAATTCTCCCTCCTCAGCCTCCCAAAGTACTGGGATTACAGGTATGATTGAAATTCTTAATAATTTTGTAACTAGGTTCCTGCATTATCATTTTGCACTGAGCCCTGAAAATCATGTAGCTGGTCCTGCCCAGAGACCTCTTAGAGCTCAGGGTACTGCCTGGCCCTCTTCCCTCTAAATCCAGTGATGGGCAGAGGTATGGGCAGTCAGGGTGAGAGGGCAGACTTCAAGGAGCTTGACTACTTGCCTAAGCTCTTTGATTGACTTTGCAAAGCACAATGTGTGCGTATGGAACCCAGTGAAATAAATGTTTGCTCTCATTGGGCATTTCTACCTGTTTCCTCTGTTTCTGTTTTACTTAATTACAGTTACTTCTTGTAAGAATTTCAGTTAAAAATGAATTCATATCTTCTGAATGCATCAGAGTGGTGGGATTCCTGCCTGTTAAGGACTAAAATCTACTACCAAGAGTTTGTATTTCATAAAGCTTGAGGAATTGGACTGATTCTAGGAGAAAAGAGGTCTCTGGGCAGGACCTCTTTCTTTCCTCTAGGAGGAAAGAGGTCTCTGAAACCTCTTTTGGGAATGTGAATCTGAGTTGCCACTGGATTCCCAGAGCCCAGCACAGAGCCTGCCACAGAGTGGGTGCCCACAAGGTTCGTGCGGTTGAATTGGAATAGGGCCTCTGCAGAGCAGGTGTGCCCGTCCCTGTGGGTTCTGATCCTGGGGAAGTCGGGAGCTCCCTCCCACCTTGAGAGGCCCAGTTTGCTCCTCACAGACCTCAGCGGGTATGGACTGCAACATGGAACGTTGAGGAGGAGGCAAACCAAAACTGCAGAACAGGACATTGGATGAGACTCACTGAAAGAGGCCTTTACCAAGTGCAGCCCTGGACATCTGCCTAGAATCCCCAGGAACTAGGGGAGCACTCACATTCCTGGGGCCTGCCCCACACCTATGATTCAGAATACCTAGGACTGGAATACAGGAATATGCATTGTTGACAAGTGTCCAAGGTGATTCCTATGTACAGTCAAGTGTGTCAGACTCCTCATCCTAAAGGGTTCTAAACTCTGGGAGGACTCTTTTGTCCTTCTGGGCTGGAATAGGAGGGGGCCCACCTGGAGACTGAAATCTGTGTCATAGCCACTTGGGAGTCTCAGTCCCTACCCTCTCATCCCCTTCTGCTTGGTCATGCTTCACTCAATAAATCCATCCCAGAGTATTGACTGAAGGCACAGTTGGGAACAGCTGAAATCCCAAATTAGGACCACACTTCCCTGCTAATTCCCCAGAAGGGGAAATTCCCCAGGAGGAACCCTCACTTCTTTTTGAAGTCTTCCACCAGGTCCTGCATGCTTTTCAGCTCTCCCTCCAGGTTCCCCCTCTCTGCTAGAAGTGAATCCAGCTGCTTGCGTAGGAAGTTGATGTAGGATTCAAAACAAGGCTCTAGGCTGCTGGGCCCCGAGCCTGTGGTCTGCTGCTGGAGCAGTTCCCACTTGGTCTCCAGGACCTTGTTCTGCTGTTCCAGGAACCGCACCTGCATCAAAGGGGGAAGAAAAGGAGTCAGCCTCTTGAGTTGGGCATGTGGGGCTGCCCATCCCACATGGTAGAAATGTGGAGAAGGAACCCAGTTCTTCAATCTGCAATTTCCCCTGTTTTTTAATTTGGGAAAGATGAAGATTTAGAAAAGAGAGAACTAGAAGTTGTTGAGTGATTATGCCATACCTGTTATTTTCATGTATTTCCATCACATTTAATCCTCACAACCACCTATAAAGGAGTTGCTGTGATGCCCATTTTGTAGATAAGGCAACTGAGACTCAAAGAGTTTAAGTTTCCCAAAGTGACAAGTCTACTGAGTGACAAAGGTAAGAATCAAACCCAGGACTGCCCTGGGTCTATAGGGGTCCTTCAGAATACAACTAAAGGAGGTCAGCACAAATAAAGTTTGTCATTGTTTTTTAGATGTAAGCTTTTTTCAGCTCCATAAAGGCAGTGAAAACAGTCAATAAGGTCTAACATTTCTTTAGAAGTTTCACATATGAAGACCTCCTTCATATGATGTGATGTATTTCCATGTGATGGAAACACATGAAAATAACAGGTATGGCGTAATCACTCAACAAATTCTAGTTCTGTCTTTTCTAAATCTTCATCTTTCCCAAATTAAAAAATGAGAAATTCACTTCAGATCCTGGACTCAGTACCACACAGACCCAGCACACCCTCATCTGCCCCAGCAGGGACAGCTCAATTTAACATTGGCTGAAGCACAGCATCATTTGGAAGGTAAGGCAGCTGCCAATACTCCTCATTTAGAGGCAGCCCCAAGATCTGTGCTAACACAGTTTTTGATTACTGGCTAGCTTGGATTATCAAGCAATTGCTTTTCAGGAGAAATTAAAGTAACTGCAATAATTTTATGACTAATGGCTCATTCTTCAAAGAGCTAAGAGTGTGTTTGGACCCCCACTTCATTTACCCTCATCTCACTCTTAGTAGGAAACCAGGACCAGGAATTCTCCCCCCCATTTCACAGCTGGAAAAACAAGGCCCAAAAAGTGAAAGAGGCATGATTGCTGTCTTGTAGGGACCAAGGCAGCACCAGGACAACAGCTAGGCACCCCTACCCTGTGTCTCACAGGTCCCCATGGCATCTTTCTACACCAACCCCTGGGCACTCCAAACCCTCCACAGCACCTCTTGGCCTTGCCCTCACCTTGTCAATGAAGGAGGCAAACTTGTTGTTGAGGGTCTTGATCTGCTCCCGCTCCTGGGCCTTTACTTGTCCAATCTGGGGGTCGATCTCCACATTGAGGGGCTGCAGGAGACTCTGGTTTACAGTCACTTCCTGAATTCCCCCAGGAAAGCCCCCAGAGACAAAGCCACCAGGACTGCCAAAGCTGCCAAGCCCACCAAAGCCACCAGGACCACCAAGGCCACCAGCTCCACCAAAGCCACCAGCCCCTCCAAAACCACTACCTATTCCTCTGCCACCACCAAAGCCACCACCATAGCTGCCCCCAAAGCCACCTCCATAGCCACCTGCAAAGCCACAGCTGCTCTGCCCTCCCACAAAGCCTCCAGCCCGGGAGCCACCAGCTGCCACGCTGACGGAGATGCTCTTGTTGCCGCCCGGGTTGTAGAGGCTACGACTGCCAAAGCCGCCTGCTCCGCTCCGGAAGCCACAGGCCCCTCCACCAGCTCCCCGAAAGCGGGCCACACAGCTCATCCTGCTGCTGCTGGAGACCACGGCAGAGCGGCCGGAGAAACCCTGGCTCCCGCCACTGAAGGATTTCTTGCAGACTTGTCTGTTCATAGTGAGAGAGCTTGGAGGTGACCCAGTGATCACTTAGCAAGAGCTGAGAGGGATGGGGACAAGAGAGGAGACTGGCCTTTATACACCAGGGAGTTTGGCTTGGCAAAAGGAGAGGCAAGCAATTAGTTGAGAGTCATCTTGGGTTTGGTTTGCCTCGTAGGCATTAAGTTACTTCTTGGTTCCCAACACACCTCAAAGATAATCCTCTGGGCCAGAGTGGCTTTGCTTTCTTAGCTTAATCACCTAAACTTGCCTCAGTTGACAAAATGCTGGAGCTCTCCTCCCTCTCTTTGTGTGATGTCCTCAAGGGTTTCAGGGAACCCAAGTAGCACCTGATCCAGCAAGAGGAAGCAGCTTTAGACACCAGGGGATCAGGAGCCATGAGCTCCCTGACACAGGGGTGAGGACCAGGCAACCACTTCCGGGCGGGCTGGGTCCCTCCCTGCAGCACCAGTGTCCACAGGCTCCCGCAGCGGCTGTACCCATCTCTCCCATCATTAGGCTTTGTCTTCCAGTGGCATGCCACCTGTGCCCAACTCTTCAGAGGGCCTGGAGTGGGAACGGAAGTGAGAGGGGCCCAGACCCACAGAGTCTGCTCTGCCAGCACCTCAGCCAAAGGCATCCATCTCAGCAAACCTGGGGTTTGGGCTGAGAAATGCTACTTATGGGAAAGAAATTACAGTGGAGCTAAACACGTTTAGCTCCTGGAACAGGAAGCAAACAAGTATGAGGTTTGGGAAGAGGAGGAGGCATGCACAGTGGAGAGCCTCAAACCAAGCCCTCCCCCCACCATCCTAGACTGACAGCAGGCGATTTCTGGACCCAGAAGCAAGAGGGGACAGAATCTGGGAACCCTCCAGCTGGCTGGTAGAGTCGGCTCAAGGACCCCATTCATCTTAGGAGTACAGTGTATGTTGTGTCTAGGCCCCAACTCAGATCTTCTGGAGGGGATCCCCTCCCTGCTTTACTCCCTGGCCTGGGTCAGATGCCCCTCCTTGTCTTCCCACCATACCCTGTACTTTTTCCATCATGGCCCTGACGTAAAGTATACTTACCTGCTACTTGTCCATACCCCACCAGTCCCTGAGCTTCTTGAGGGCAAGGCTTGAGTCCTGCCCATTCTAAATTATCCTAAATGTCCAGCTCCTAGCATAGGGTAAGCACAGCACAAACGTGTTAACTGACTGATGACTGGTGTCTAAGAATGCAAATACCTAAAACCAGCTCCCACCCCAGCCCTGCGAATGAAAATCTTCAGAGGAAGGGCTTGAGAGTTTGCATTTTTAACAAGCCCTCCAGGTCATTCTTATAATGCAGGATGTCTGGGAAGCCCTGGTCCAGACCATGGCTGCACCACAGGGGCCAGGAGTAGGAGGATGGAGGATGCTTGATGGCAGAATGAACGACACATGATGAGTTGCTGCTCTCACTGCCAAGAGCTCAACGGACCCCCACTCCCATCCAACCCACCTCCACACCCAAACACATCACACAGGGCAAGACCAAATCCTCAGGTTGTTGTCTGCATAGGAGATTTCACACATATGACAGGAGCGGGGGCACTGATTCTAGACTCCCTGAGAAATTGATGGGGAGTCTATCTCCAGAATTCCAGCCAAATTGGCAGTGAGCACTCTTTCTGAGTTTCTGGTTTCTGAACAGTCCAGCCTAGGAGAAAGGATTGATCTGAAAACCTGGGAACCACCATGAGTTGACAACTTCAAGAGCTCTGCAGCTAATTCTCAGCTCTCTGCTCTGCAGCTTGTCTGGCATCAGATCCCAGATCCACTATCCACCAGCTTTTAGGCCTTGGACAAGTTACTTAACTTTTATGTGTCTCGTTTATCAACTGTAAAATGGAACTAAGAATGGCAAGTACTTCATGGGGTTATTGTGAGCATTAAACAAGTTAAGTAAATATAAAATGCTTAGCCCAGTGCTTGACACATAGCAAGCACTGGATGTTTAGCTACTGCCAGTACTCTATTTGGGGGAATGGGGAAGCGATAATGTGTTTGGCCCTAGCTGTTCTCAAGACAACTTTGCATCCCTAAGAATCTCACTAGAAAAGAGTGAGACCTATACTGAATAGGGTTGGGTTGGGTGACCTTGGGCCACGATTTAACGTAAGTCTGTGTTCTAATCTGCCAAACCCTTCCCTACCTTACTGGTTTGTGGTGATACTTGCAGGATAATGTAACTGAAAGTCCTTTGAAAATCACAAAATTCCACACAGGAGTAAGATAGCTGTGGTCTAACAGAAAACAGAAAACCTGTCATTGTGGAATTCCAAAGGTTCAATTCCTGGGTTCAAATCCTATGTCTACCTCTTACTATGTAGTGACCTTGGACAAGGTACTTGACTTCTCTCTCTCATTTGTAAAAGGTGGCATTGATCCTACTTGCAGGATTGTTTTGAAATTTAAATACATAGTATTCAGCAATATATATTTGGATTTTTAAATTAACATCATTCTTCCACAGATAATCCAGGAAGAGGATTTCATGTTGAGTTCTTCCATGAGACATTTACTCCACCCATCAATTGAATGACAGCCCCCCCGGTAAGGTCTTTCCTCATATTCACTGGATCCTTTAAAAGCAGATCACATGCCCTTCCTGGAAAGAAAGCTGAGCCAGGCTCAGCTGAAGCTCCAGGTGAGAGCCCAAAGCAAACAAGAACAGACTTAAATATCTCTGATTCCCTTCCCTCCCTTGGCTGCAGTGCTGAGGTGGTGAGTGGCAGCCTCTGACGTGTGGCTCGCTTCTACCACCCTGGCATAGGCTGGAGAAGCATGGTGGAAAAAGGTGATGTACAGATCACAAAAGCACGGGCTTGGGCTGGGTCACCTAATCCATGTCGCCTGAGCCTGCCAAAGCATCACCTTGTTTATCAGATGGAGATTGTCTTCTCAGCAGTTGAATGGAGCTGCTGGAAATACCCAGAGTTGCAGTCCTCAGCAACATTGCCCTTATTCACTGTAGGATCTTTCAGAACAGTATCTAAAGGATCTTCCCACTGCCAGCAATCTGAGTTCCAATCCCTCACCTGCTGGAACCTTCTGTGTAAAGCTTGCCAGATGGCTGAGCACCCTGGATTTTTATTTCCCCACCTATAAAATTGGGGGTACTAAAACCAAGTAGTTATTCCCTCTAACCAAATTGCTCTCTGGCAGCCAACTGCGGTGAGAAGACTTCAGATTGCCTGTAACATAATTATGAGTGAAGGAATGCATCATAAGACAGTAGTCATTATCCTTGGTCAAAGTGGGCAGACGTCCCTCTCCACCACCATCTGCTGAGGATGAGGAAGCTATGGCTGCTGCCTCTTTCTCCATGGAGGTTCGCAGATCCCATTTTCAAGATAATCACCAATTTGTTCTCAAAAATAAAAAACAGAATAATTAACATCTGGGTATGCCGCCCCTGGACTAGGAATTAGCATTCTTTTCTTGTTGACATAAAAGCTTATTACTAATGAAACAACTTTAACCAATGAACAGTAAAAATAATTACCATATAGAGCAAGATTTATAGTGAAAGCTTGATAAAGAAGCAAACATCTAAGTACAACTAAATCCTTATATTACTAAGGTCTTAGCTGTTAGCAATCACAATTTGTTCTGATTCTGGTCTTATCTCTACACTTGATTAAAACACACTCCAGCTCACTCCTAATTCTTTATCTGGTACTTGGATCTCTCCCAGGGCATATGCAGGGCAAAATTCTATCTCCCAAGATGGCCCTGATTAAAAGGTTCTGTGATTACATAAATTTGGGAAATGAAAAGTCTATGGCTCTTTCTTGGGATTTTAGTAAAGTTATTTAGCATATTAAAAGCCCTAAGAAGTCCTATAGAAAATAATCTTTTTGCCTTAATTTAATCACAGCTTCCCAAATTTAACAACAAAATATTTCTATCTTAACAACCACTAACATGCTGCCGAGTATAGTCGGGAAACACTAGTCCAACTAGCCATCCAGGATGGATGAGAATGTGCAGATAGGGATTAGGGCATAAGGAGACATCCTCATCCCTGGAGAGGAAGCACTTGCTCCAAGTGAGACAGCTGGAAGCTGAGAGCAGACTGAGTCCTGGGGTTGAAGATGCAGCAAGAAGGGCACTGGGGTGCTGAAAACTGTACAGGTTCTCTAAAGACCAGCTCTCCTGTCAATGAATATTTCTCACCAGTAAATGGATTTGGCTCGATATTTCCAAACACCATGGCTCTTTCACAGGCATGCTGGATTTTCTGGAACTCAAATAACTGCATCTCCTCCTCTCTTCCCTTGCAGCTTGAAAGAGTGGAAAATATGGAATCCTTGGAATTAGACAAGCCTGTATTCAGATCCCAGCCTTGCCACTTTCCAGTTGCATGGCATCAGGCAAGGCGTTTTACCCTCTGGGCCTCAGTTTCCCATTCAGCAAATTGGAGTTAGCACAGCGTCCTCATGGAGTTGTAGTGGGAACTGTAGGAGGTAAAGTTGGAAAACCCTTACACGAGGCAGGTGCTCAACACATGGCAGCTCTTGTGATGATGATGTCAATGTAGGAAGCCCTCCTAGAAGGTGTCAGTTCGGAGGCTGAACAGGAAGGAGGAGTTACAAGGGGTAGCCCGGTATAGGGTCAAGGCAATAGTGAAGTATTTGATTATTTTTGCAACAGGTTGCAAGGAATCATAGTGTCTATATTGGGAATTACATAAAAGCCATTTTCCCATGTCTGGTCAAGCCATTTTCCCACTACAGGGCCTCATCAGTAATGCAATCTATCAATCAACAAATACTTATTGATCTGCTGCATACTTTCTAGAGGTGTGGGGACTATGTTTCAGTGAAAATAATTTCCTCTTTCAAATCTTAACTCCTATTGTCCATCTCTGAACAGAATTTTAAAACAGCTAACATTGACTGCTTGACATATACAAGTTACTGACAGGTTGTTTATATGTATCGTTTCGAATCGTCACAAAAACTTTGCAAGGCAGGAATTTTCATTCACATTTTACAGATAAGGGCATGAGGTTAATTAACTTGCCTCAAGTCAAATCACTTGCAAGCTTGGAATTTTTTTTTTTTTTTTTTTTTTTTTTTTTTTTTTTTTTTTTTGAGATGGAGTCTCACTCTGTCACCCAGGCTGGAGTGCAGTGGCACAATCTCGCAATCTCGGCTCACTGCAACCTCCGCCTTCTGGGTTCAAGCAATTATCCTGCCTCAGCCTCCTGAGTAGCTGGGATTACAGGCACCCGCCACCACGCCCAGCTAATTTTTGTATTTTTAGTAGAGACGGGGTTTCATCATGTTGGTCAGGCTGGTCTCGAACCCCTGACCTCGTGATCCACCCACTTTTGTCTCCCAAAGTGCTGGAATTACAGGTGTGAGCCACCGTGCCCGGTCCGCAAGCTTGGATTTTAATAAGACTGTCCAACCTCAAAGCCTGTCATAAATTCATGAATGCTTTTCTTCTATTTAGACTTCAGCAAGTCAAATTACACCATCCCAAAGTGAAAAGTCCACTTTGACATGTAAAGAACCCACCCATATACTCTCTACCTGACTGCTGCATGATAGGTTGAACACCAGTCATGTGCAACCTACCATGCTGGCCAGGGTCACCAAGGTGCTGGTCAGGATAGTGTCTCAGGGACAGAACACGTGGGTGCGCTTGGAATTTATAGATGACATGAGCTGCTCCATCATCTGCAATGTAAAAGGTGATGTCCTCACCCTGTTGGAGAAACAGCAAGAGGCCAGAAGGTTGCACTTAGCTTGGATGCTTGCTGGATCTTAGATGTTGCATTTGACCACTTGGCCCACAGGAATGATTTGCCACAATCTTCTTTTTTTCTTTTTTTTTTTGAGACGGAATCTCACTCTGTTGCTCAGGCTGGAGGGCAGTGGCACAATCAAGGCTCACTGCAACCTCCGCCTCCTGGGTTCAGGCGATTCTCCTGCCTCAGCCTCCTGAGCAGCTGGGATTACAGGTGCTTCCCACCACTCCCAGCTAATTTTTGTATGTTTAGTAGAGACATGGTTTCACCATGTTGGTCAGGCTGGTCTCGAACTCCTGACCTCAGGTGCTCCACCTGCTTTGGCCTCCCAAAGTACTGGGATTACAGGCGTGAGCCATCATATTTTGTTTTTGCTCACCAAACAGGTAATCAAGATGTACCTTTAAATAATACATTTGTGTTGCATGTTAAAAAAAAAAAAAAAAAACCCACCCTTAGAATGTAATTGGTCAGATCTGCCTTGAAGCATCAACTTGTGCTGATGAAAATAGTTTTAAACTTTGTGAATTCCGTTTTGGTATCAAGGAGGAACACCCATCATTATCAAGGTATTCTCCTAATCAATCTCGATGGCTTCTCTGTCTGGAGATCAGAACTCCCGAGAGTTGAACGTGGGCCCACTCACCATCACAGGGCCTCAGCTGTAGAAACCTCATCTGCTAATGTAGGAACTTCAGGTTTGGTTTCTGGCTCAAAACTGTGGAAAGTCATTAGTCCACATACAAGGGAGGACATACTAGAGTCCAAGAAGACACCAGCTGGCCCCGTTCAGCAGCATAGCACAGTAGTTACATGTGTACCCTTTGGATTTGAGGCCAGATCTGCCACTTCCCATCAGTCATGTCACTCTGTTTCTCCAAGCCACAGTGTCCTAATTTAGAAAATGAGGATAATTGCAGCCTGCCTCCTATGGCAGTTGCAAAGGATGAAATGAGATGACATATGCAAAATGCCCAGTGTATGACTTGCGCTAGTCACAAAAGTTAGTTGTTTAATCCAGTTGTTTCTGTAAAATATGTCAGGGCAGTAATTACCTTTAAGAGTCTACCCTATCCTTTTCAAAATCTCATTAACTTAGTGAAGCTCACAGTGCCTGGCCTGCTATGTGCCAGGCATTTTGCTGTTCACTGAGGAGCACAAAGATAAATAAGGCACAGCCATCCCTTTGAGTAACTTCTATTTTAATGTGGAGAACAGGCACTGAAACTTGTCATTTTAATATAATATGGCACATGATAAAAAGGGATAGACAAAGTCCCATGGGAGTCCAGACAGATGCTCAGTGCCATGGAGGGTCTAGGAAGGCTTTCAGGAGGCAGTGCCCGGGTAATCCTCAGTGATGAGCGAGCAGGGCAAGTGGGTGACGGTGGGATGAGCATTCCTGGCAGAGAACAGAGCATCAAAGGCACAAAGGCGTGAGAAAGCCAGGTTGATATGAGAACTGCAGGCACCTTGTGGGCCATTTGCACAGGTCTTGAAAGTCCCCACATAAGGCCACACTCTTTCCTTGGCTTGTTTCCTATGTCTTCATCCAGAATAAAAGGGCATTTCCATTTTAAAACAAACAAACTTCAGCCAGGCACGGTGGCTTATGCCTGTAATCCTTGCACTTTGGGAGGCCGAGGCAGGCAGATCGCCTGAGCTCACGAGTTCGAGATCAGCCTGGGCAACATGGTGAAACCCCGTCTCTACTAAAATACAAAAAAAAAAAAAAAAAAAATTAGCCAGGCGTGGCAGCGTGCACCTGTAGTCTCACCTACTTAGGGGGCTGGGGCAGGAGAATCACTTGAACTCAGGAGGCAGAGGTTGCAGTGAGCTGAGATCATGCCACTGCACTCCAGCCTGGTGACAGAGCAAGACTCTGTCTCAAAAAAAAAAAAAAAAAACTTCTACAAATACATACTTCCCTCAAATCCAGAAGAGTCTCTATTCAGTTCAACTGTAACCCCATATCACTGTAACTAAAGATCTTCTCCCAAGGAGAGATGTGAATGAGATGACCTCTTGTTTGGCACAGCTTTCTCTGCAGTGGCACTGTGGACATTTGAGGCTGGCTATTTCTATGTTGAAGGGGACTGGCTTGTGTGATGTGGGATGTTTAGTAGCAACCTGGCCTCTACTATTTAGATGCCAGTAGCACTCCCCCACTTGTGACAACAAAAATGTAACCAGACATTGCTATATGTTCCCTGGGGAGCAAAATTGCCCCCACCGAGAGTCACAGCATTAGTTCTACCTAGAGTCACCTTCTCCTGCCACCATCTTCTCTGGTGGTTGACAGAGCTGTCACCATTTGGTCTCGTCACCACGGATTCCAAAAGTATCAGATTCTCCCAGCACACCTCCATCAGTGGTTCCCTAGGAGAGCCAAGTCACCTTCAGCCTTCAGCCTGGGCTGGAAGTGTTGGTGGGGATTAGCTCTGTCTTAGGCACAACAAAGAGGTGCGTTAGACAGCGCGTGTGCTAGAAGGGCTTGTGAAGGATGTAGTGAAGATTCAGATAAAATATGTGAAGAAGCATTTTCAGAATTTAAGTGAGTTTTTCTCGATCATCCCAAGATTATCTCACGGTGCCCACATTTTTTGTCTTTGTCTTTGTCTTTGCATAGAGGGAAAATGCACATGGACTGAAGTTCTGAGAAGGCAGAGAGAAGGTGCAGTCCAAATCCAGAAAGTGAGATCTCTGATGCTTGGCTAACAAACACTCCACCCAGTTCTAGGCAAAACAGAGAAGAATCGTGTACAGATTTACCTGCAAATTGCGTAAAACTTTACATGCAAACCTTGATCATCAGCAGTCAAGTCTAGATTATCCATACGCAAGCGCTGAACTACTTTCAAATTCTTGTAGAAAACAATCCCCTGATTTCCTTAACAGCCTTTTGTAGATGTGACACTGTTACCATTGATACTTGCTCTGATCTGTAGCCTATATTCTCACAAAGATATAGAAGGGAATCACCTGAAATCTAAAAACTCAACTTGGTCTTCCTAATGGGAAGTGAACCAGTGAGTCTGCAAGCTCTTAGAACAGGAAAACACTCTTTTGAGCATATCTTCTGTGGAAGACAGTGTGGGAGTGGTTGGAGGGCATAGACAGACAGACAGACAGATAGATAGATAGATAGATAGATAGATAGATAGATAGATAGATAGATAGAATAGGGTGTAGGGTAGAATTTGGTTCCTCTGTTTCATTGCAAGTGGATATACCTCTCCACACCCAGGAAAGAGAGATGTGGAAGAGAGAGCAAAGAAATTCTTGACAATTGACCAAAGACCGCAAATCCCAGTTTAGGATCCAGGCTCACAAGTAGGCATTATTCAACAATCACTGTGAGCTCATTATGGGCAAAAGTATGCCTTAGAGGACAGCATGGACAACACAGGACTCACTGACTACCTACTAGAAGAATGAAAAGTCTAGTCAAGTACAAGAAAGCGAACTCAAGCCCAGTGACTTAAGAGCACTGAAAAGTCAACATAGAATTGTGCAAAAAAACTGTGCAAATGCTAAGGCAAAGGAAAAGAAGGAGCACTCAGAAGCAGGTAAAGTTCCCTGCAAGGGAGTTTCAGCCTGGATTAGAAACAGTCAGGGCCTGGCAGGGCGTGGTGGCTCATGCCTGTAATCCCAGCACTTTGCGAGGTGGAGGTGGGCAGATCACCTGAGGTCAGGAGTTAGAAACCACCCTGGCCAACATGCACTAAAAATGCAAAAATTAGCTGGGCGTGGTGACTTGCACCTGTAATCCCAGCTACTCAGGAGGCTGAGGCATGAGAATCACTTGAACCCAGGAGGCAGAGGTTGCAGTGAACCGAGATAGTGCCACTGCACTCCAGCCTGAGTGACACAGGGAGACTCCATTTCAAAAAATAAAGAAAGAAAGAAACAGTCAGTGCTGGGCTGAGAATATCCAGCCAAGCATAGAGTTAACTCCTTGGGTCCCAGGTCCTGACACCAAGGTCACCTGCCCTGACTATTCCTCTGGAACAATGACACCTCCAAGAAATAGCCTCTCCGCCCCACTCCTCCTGTGCCAGGCTGTCCTTTAAGAAGCTGCGTGGAGCCGCACCCCACCACCTCACCACTAGTGGTTACTTAGGTAGCAGGGGTTCCTGTAAACCCCACTGGAGAAACAAGGCCAGTGAGCACAGGTCCAGGGAGGAACAGCAAAGCACAAAGGTCACTGTCTGAACGTGAGACTGGAAACCAGTGTGCATAGTCCCCAGGAAGGCCAGGCCTGCTCTGGGCTTTCCTTGGAGCCAATTTAGAACCCCCCTGATGGCTCGGGTGGGGGCACTCTGAAGAACGTGGCCCAGGCTCCACCATCTGGTCGATTGCACTCCTGTCCCTGACTCTACATTCCAGTCCGCATTGGTTCTCAGCATGGGCCCTCTTCTCCACCCTCTCTCCAGAAAAACTCATTAGTTTCCATGGCTTTAAAATCCACCCTTAAGCTGATGATGTCCAGATGCGAGTGTCTAGCCCTGATGGGGCCCCCTTCTGAATCTACAGGCTCACATCTCACCTGGACGTCTCACGTGGCTATCTCATGAGCAGCTCCTGCTTGTCTAAAGCAGAGCTGAAGTTTCTCTCCACATCTATCCCGCCCTCCCACCCCTCCACTCACGTCAGTAAATGGCACCAACCACCCAAGTGCTCATACTGGGAAACTGGGCATCCTGGTTGAATCTCCCCTTTCCCTTAACCTCCCCACCTCCATCCAGTCCATTAACCAGTCCTGGCATTCATCCAACTCAGCCCCTAGTTTCATTTCTTTTATACTTCCCACAACTTAAAATTATTTTGTTCATTTGGTTTGCTTACTTTTTTTGTTGATTCCCTTACTAAAATGAGGGTGGGGTCAACATCTGATTTCTTGCTCACCAATTCATCTCCAGAATTTAGCCCAGTTCCAGACAGAAAACAAACACTTAATGAATACTTGTTGAATGAGTGAAGGAGAGAATTCAATGATAAAGACTTTGCCCAGGGTGAAGCAGCTGCCCCATGACTGGCACAGTCCCATAGGGCCAATCCCCTAAACTGGGTCGGGCACTGAGCCTCCCCAC